CCCTCTGGGGGGGATGGAGGCGGCACCATCAGGCCCTGCACACAAATCAAATTTGAGGGGAGGGTCCCTTCTTTGCAGGGTATCCACAGAACACTTCACTGTTTGATTTCATATTTATAGCCTTTTTTCTTAGGCTGAAAAACTCTCTAGTGATACTCACGTAATTACCTATTTGCTTTCTCCCGTTATAATAAGTTCAGAATAATGATATCAATATTACTACCAATGCAATTATTGAAAACTGCTTGATATTATTTTTCAGTTCATTTATATCCTTGGGGAATGGCTATCAAGGGATGCACCGTTCAATTATTGTGTTTTAAATGACTTCAAAGTATTGCTCTTTGTGTGGCTCTGTTGCTGCCTGAATGTTAGTTTCACTTTAATTTCTACTTTAGGGTTTTCTATATCTTTGATTCAATTGGTTTTATATTTATATAAATATTAATATGATTCAAGAGTCAAATCTATCAAAGAAGGGAAGTTCAGAGAAATCTAGCTTTTCTCCCTGTGCTCCCTCTTCCATTTTTACATTATATGTATTTCACATTATATGTATATTATGTATGTCATAATATATATGTTATATATGTATATATACATATGTAAACTATATGTATATTGTTTCATTTTAATAAGAGCAAATATGCATATATATTCATAAGCCCATTTTTTAGATAAACGTAGCATGCTATATGCAACTTTTCCCACTTTATCTTTTGCACTTGATAATATTAGGAGGCAATTACTCCATAGCAGTTTACAGAAATATTCAAATCTTTTTGTTTGAATAGGCCACTTAAAGCTATTGAATCAATTGATGTATTTCATACCAATCTTGTTATATTTTAAAATATATATTGATATAGCTATGTAGTCTTTCACTATGTTATCTGTATTCTCTGTCTCTCTTTTCTGTATGCTTAGATATTTCAGAGTATTTGTAGTTATGGTCTAATGGCTGCACTTACAATAACAGCTTTACATAATATCTTTGTCCCTTCTTTTTGAGCCCATTGGTGTCTTAATATGAGCCTTCTTGATAATTAGCTAAAACCTCCTCTGACACAATATTTAATTTGAAGTAATATTCTTCTACTCCCAGTTCATACCTAGAAGGCAATCAGAGAGCTTATTTTCGTTTCCATATACCCTCACCTCTACCCCACCCCAGTCGCTATTAGTTGTGTTCCATCTACATTGTCAGAGCTTATACCCTCTACAAAAGATATTCTTTTGCTTAAAACCATCACGTGGCCTTAGTTCTGCACTTACATTTCTATTGAATATTCAACACTGAAACTTACTAAAGGTATCTTCAGTTTGGGTTATCTGAAGCTTGATCACCCCAAGTAAGGATGTTTAAGACAAGTTTTCTGTAGCCTCTATACTTGAAGGCCTCTTTGTAAATCTATATGTTCCTGTCATGCTTTCCTTGTTCTCTAGGGAAATTATTCTCCTTACTGTTCTCTCTTTTGTTATGATAAATGTCTAGGACATTCCACTGCAGTTCATTTCTTTATTACTTGGGTGACAGGGTTTTCCTACAGTATTAATATAGGAGGTTAGGACTCATAACTTTTTAGCTTCAAATTTCTAGGGGTCCCTATTCTATTCTTAGCAATAAGTGTTCCCAGTTGGCCTGTACTTCCTTCAGGTTGCTTGATGCACAGGTTTGTATACGGTTCCTCTCTCACCTTTGTGCCTAGGGTCCCTGTCTTGTTCAATTTGAAGTCTATCACCCAGCGGGAACCACTGAGTCTGGAAACTTGGTTGCTTGTCAGTGTACTGTATTTGTAAAGTAAATATTTCAGCCTTGCCAATCACTAACTCTTCAATACATTGCACAGCAAAACTTCCTTTATGAGTGAACATATGTAAAGGACACTTTTTTAAAACTGGCAAAAGAGAAAGAGAGTCGACCTCAAGGAAAATTACCTTTCCCTACCCAGAAATTTCCAATGTTTCAAAGGCAAAATTTAGTTAAGGCTGTAATGAGGGCTGTCCCAATGATAGATATACACCTAGAATTCTATAATCTTCTAATAACTACATATAAATAATCATTGACCATCTCTAAAGATTTTATTACAGTAAAAAAAAAAAAACCCACAATTACTATAGGATAGAAACTTGTCTGAACTAATTATTAGAGTATTGAAATTCTGTTCTCAAGCAACTCAAATATCTAAACCTAAACTCATAGATCTTCCCTTTCATTTTGCAAGAACCACATACTGAAAAGTGGTTCCAGGAGAGTTTCAATAATGACACACCCCTCACCTCCAGGAAAGAGGGTCTGTGAGATTCTCTCTAGGGGCACCATCTGGCCCTGGGAGTCCAAGAATTATGAAGACCACAGAATTGAAAGGTTCAAATTGTTAGTTACTCAAATGTTTGACAATGGAAAGAATAATCTTTTATAAGAGATTATCAATTACCTATCTAGTTCAACTACTCACATATCATACACCTAGAGGTCATAACCTTTCTCCAATAAAATTGTTTCCTTCTATGTCAGTTCCCCTTTGAAGTAATGATTTCACTCAGCATCTTTTGGGGATCTAGATATGCTGGCAGAGCCCTGCACTGTCATCTGCCTGTGGATATGCCAATGCTCCAACTTGAAGTGAAGCCATTCCCCGGACAGAAACCATGGAATCCAATGTCCTCTCAAGGAACCCAGGGATCAAGGACCCCACGTCCTTTCTAATCTTATTTTAGTTTTATTTTCCCATAGTGTAAAAGTGAGGAAATGAAACTAATCCCCCAGAAGGTTAATAGTATCCAGGCATCTACATTACCCAACCCACATCAGCTTTGTCACAGAGGATTAGGAGCTGGGAATCCTACACATTCACGTTGTTTTTCTAGGTGCTTTCCCACATTGCTGTAGGCAATCTATCTCTGCGTTGTATCTCGGAATAGAAAGGCTCCAACTTTTTGGTCTCAGCGTCCCTCTGCGCTCTTAAAAATCACTGAGGACCACTAAGAGTTTTTGTTTATGTAGATTATTAACTGAATATTTTTTTAAATTTCGTTTATCAATTCATTTTAAAGCAATGATGAACCCATTTCATGTTTCACATAGAAACATCTTTTTTTTAATGAAAAATACCTCTATTATCCAAAACAAATTAGTGAAAAGAGCAGCATTATTTTATATTTTATATAAAATATATATTTTGCTAAATCAAGTATCACAGCAAATCTCTGTGATACCTGATTTAGTAAAAGACAGCTGGATTCTCATATCTGCTCTGCACAGGGGAAATGCCACCCTCCACGCACGAGAAATGAGTGAAAAGGGCAAGGACCATCTGTTATTACAAAGGTGGTTTTGACCTCATAGATCCCCTGCAAGGATCAAAGAGACCCTCGGGTCCCCAGAACAGCAGCTCCCAGTCAAGGAAAGCCAAGCTCCAAAGGTGTGGAGTGAGATGGAGGGCGGCGGACATCCCCAATTCCCTTCGTACCACGAGGGCCCGCAGAAGCTCTCCCCTCCCCCTGTCCCATCTCGCACGTGGAGGAATCCTGTGGCTATAATCATTTTACAATTCATCCATTTTGTAGTGCATCAGGTTTATAAATTAAAGAATTTTTTCTAAGAGGAAACCATTGTAAACCTATATGTATGGCAATAGCAGAGATTAAATAAATTATGGTTTCTAAAGCCGAATACTTTGCCGTCATCAAAAAGAAAGGAGGAAGACGTACTCAATATTAATATCCTTGGAGTTTGTGAAGCAGAGAATACAAAGTACAGAACAATGTGTATATTATGATAGTCTTCGTGCGTTTTTATAAGAGAATAATGCATGTGTAACTGGGAAAAGACACAAGAAATTGCTTACAACAATTGGTTATTTTTAGGGAGATATAGGAATTTTAAAAAATTGTAAACGTTCCAGCAATGAGTAACATATTATGTACCACTGTTAACTGTACAATTGTGTTTGGTCCTTAGAGAAAAGAAGGCAAGAAGGGTTTCGCGGCGGAGGGACCCTGTTGCATTTCATACCCGTCGGTGCCGTGGAAGCTGAGGACCCTCAGGTGGGCATCTTCCGCGGATGCACCGGAGCCAGCCCGGCCGAGCCCGTCCGCCCCGCCCCGCCCCGCGGAGGCCGTCCCCGCTTGCTCCGCCCTCTCCTTTCCCATTGGTCTGCCTCCTCTCCCCTGCGCCCAATCGCAGCGCTTAGCGCCAAATTTGAATCGGTGTTATCGTTTGAATCTGGAGGGCGCGGCGGCGGCTTTCCGCGCCAGAGCCGCTAACGCCGGGCAACTCCGGGACGTCTCTGGGCAGGGCCAGCGGGCCACCGGAGAGGGCGAGGGCGGGAGGAGCGGGGACTGGGGCCACGGCGAAGGTGGGGGCGGGCCGGGGGACTGAGGCCCGGTCCCTGCAGCGGAGGTGGACGCGTCGCCGGCCCCTCCCGGTGCAGACTCGGGTTGCTCGCCGACGAGCGGCGGAACCACCGGTGTCGCCCCGGGAGACTCGTCCTGGGTGAGCGGCGGCCGGGGAGCTTCGGGGGCGGGGGCAGCCGGCGGGGCGGAGGCCGCGTGGACCACTCGGGGCTGTGCGGGCACCAGCGCCGGAGCGCGGCCTTGGCCCGGCTCGTCCTGGGCTCAGGCGTGGGGTCTCGGTGGTAACTCCCGGGAGCCAGGAGCCTGGCGGGCGGCGTCCTGGACGCAGGTCTCTGGAGGGCGCTGGGTGGTGGAGGCAGCCACGGGCCTGGCCGGGGCTTCCACCGGGGTCAGGTAAGGCGTGGGTCGGGGCGGCAGGGGCAGCGGTGAATAGTACACGCGACCCCAGTTGGTCACTTACAAGTAACTTCTTAGCTCTTTGCTTTAGAATAACCCTCACCCCCTGTGTGTTTTATTTTTGTTATTTTGTCAGTGGCGTGTAAAAGTGCAGTCAAAGGATTGCTTGTAAGTCTGCTTCAGCAAACCTTTTGATGCCTGACCTTCCGGTACGGATTATAGTCAAAATTCCTCTTTAGAAAATGGGTCCTACAAGACGCCTTGTTACCATTAAAAGGACCGGGGTCGACGGCCCCCACTTTCCACTGAGCCTTCATACCTGCTTGTTTGGAAGGTGAGCCCTACCCACCCGCGGACAATTTAGACAATTTAGCTTAAAAAAAGCCCTCAATAACCAATAACCAGAGATTAACAGACGAGATACACAGCTCTAGGAGTAGTCAGCCCTCGAGTTTGCTCAGGACTTCCTATGTATTGTCAATGCTACTGGTTGTTTATTATGAAATAGAATTCGGAGACAATGTTTACATGGCTGTGTTTTTTCAGTCAAACAAAAATTTACATTGATTTGATAAAAATGTAACTGGAGAAAAATGTAAAGGATTCTCAAATCCTGCTTCACTTCAGACTGTCTTTAGAAAGCCATTGTGTTCATCTGAAATCTCTCCAAACTGGGCATTCGTTGGCTGCTGGGGGATATTATTGAACAAGTGAAGGAAGGAATCTGTGCATGGCTTGTTGGTCTCTTTGGAAAAATGGAAAAATGGGAAGGAAAGTCCTTCTGGTTGTGTTTTGAGAACTTCTCTTTTGTTGCCTTGGTGTTGGTGGTGGCAGTAAGTCTGGTCCCTGTGTAACAGGCACCATTAATCACATCCCCTCTCCTTTTCTAACATGTGATGGATAAGTTACCACCCCCCCCCCGGCCATGGAACCCTGTGTGATGGAACCCTGACCCCCTTCTACCCCACACCCCATCCTCCCACCAGCCCCACTCCTGCCATGTTCCACCACACTTCAAGCTCTTTCTCACCTTGGTGCTTTTAGCCAGTTCGAACTTTTATCACCTCTGGAATTTCTCTACCCTCCTACGTGACTGATTGCTTTACAACTTTCAGAGACAGGATCCATGTTACCTGAGAAGAAGCCTTTACTGAGCCCTGCTCTTGTCTTTCCTAATTCCACACATGGTGATGAGGCTGTGGTTTGTCTGTCTCACTACTAAGCTCCCCAAGGACAGGGACTGTCTAGTTAATAATTGTGTACTCGGTGTCTGGTATGGGGCCTGGCATATGAGAGGTGATCACTATTTAGCACTCTGGCAATTGTCCAGTCATAACATCAGCTGGGAAATTGAGTTTGGAATCAGTATGCAGCAGTGGTTATCAACTGAGAGCCGTATTGGCCCCCAGGAGCTCTTTGGCAAAGTCCGGAGACATTTCTTTCATGTCACAATGTGGGAGGCACACACCACTGGCGTCAGGGAGCAGAGGTCAGGGTTGCTGCCAAACACCCTACAATGCACAGGACAGCTCCCTAACTATAGAGAACTAGCTGGCCCCAGATGTCACCAGCACCAGGGTTAAGAACCATTGATCTATAGTGATTCCTGATGGCTGTCTCCTGCCAAACAGATTCTCAGTTCTAATGAGATCGGCTTTTTCTCTCTCTTGCCTGGATGTTCTGATACCTAAAAATCAAATTCTCTTCTTTGGCTTAAAGTAGCTGTTCACTTTCCATAGCTTCCACTCTCTTCAAAAGGGAAAAACAAAAAACATTTTGGTACCAAATAGCAGTAATTCTGTTATTATACTGTAGTGATTAAGTGTATTTTTATGCGAGATTTTATAATCCAGAAACCCACTCGTAAGTGTTTGGTCATGGTACAGGTAGGAAGGGATATTCTTAGACTCCAGAGGTTCGTATTGAGTACAGAGAGGAGGCCTACGGTCTGTTCAAACGTGTAAAACCACAGGATGGTAACAGGAACACCAGAGACCCAAAGAGCCTTGCTGAGGACGTCTTTGATTAGTTTCTGTGTAGGTTTGGGAATTCTCCCTTCAGCTGCTTCCTGCTGATGTTAGTTTTCTGTAAAAAGACACGTTGCATCTAGATAGTTTGTTGTTGCTTGTAGATTAGTGTCTGTAATGATAGGAGGCTTGTGACTCTGTCAGTTAATAGTGTAGTTTATTTATTTATTTTTGGCTGCATCGGGTCTTCGTTGCTGCGCACGGGCTTCCTCTAGTTGCAGCGAGTGGGGGCTACTCTTTGTTGCCGTGGGTGCGCGGGCTTCTCATTGCGGTGGCTTCTCTTGTTGCGCAGCACGGGCTCTAGGCGTGCGGGCTTCAGTAGTTGTGGCTCGCGGGCTCTAGAGCGCAGGCTCAGTAGCTGTGGAGCACGGGCTTTGTTGCTCTGCGGCATGTGGGATCTTCCCGGACCAGGGCTCAAACCCATGTCCCCTGCATTGGCAGGCGGATTCTTAACCACTGCATCACGAGGGAAGTCCCAATAATATAGTTTTAAAACAATAAAAGGCTCACAAGTGTGTGCCAAGCAAATGACAGACATGAGTAACATTTAATTTTCTGAAGAACACCATGATATGTTTGCCAATGGAGTCCTCTTTGTATATGAAGAAACTGAGACACGGAGAGGTCCTAGCATGAAATAACAGCACTTTAGGTGATGATTAAACCTTTAAACATACATAGCATTACCAATAAACATACGTAAACCTTTTTTATAGGAAAAAAAAAAGCACAGAGTACAAACAATAAGTATTCTCCAAACTGATGTAAAGTACTCCTTTAGTTGGATCTTATAAGCATAGATATTTTAGTGAAAGGCAATTCAATTTTGTATTCTAATATTTTCCATTATAATTATTTTTAAGTACTCTTAAGTTTTAATGATTTAAAATAGTTGCTTATACAATACTTATAAAAATTGTGGGCAAAATGCAAAGATCATTTACATTGCCCAGTTTGTCTTTACTTTATGTCATTACATTTACAGATCAAACATAGAGTCAGATGCTGTCTTATTTTGAATCACTGATGTAAGTTTTTTAAATTGCAGCAACCTAAAAAATCTTTATTCTTTTGAATTAAGGGGTATCGAGTGTGACATTCGTATTCAGCTTCCCGTAGTGTCCAAACAACACTGCAAAATTGAAATCAATGAACAGGAGGTGAGCAGGATTTTGGAAGTCTGTTTTTTAAAACTTTTCACTTTTTATCCATTTATTAGTTTACATATTTTCCTCTTTTCTACTTGTAGGCAATATTGTTTAATTTCAGTTCCACAAATCCAACACAAGTAAATGGATCTACTTTTGATAAACCTGTACAGCTAAAACATGGAGATGTGATAACTGTTGTCGATCGGTCTTTCAGGTAGGTAAGAAATGGGCTAAAAATAAATAGACCTTCTGATCCACCAAAAACTAGCCTCACAGTTCATCAGTGATCCTTCTGTAATGCGGGTGAATGTCAACATGTTTGAGGTTGCCATTCCCAACACAGTCTTTATCTAAATTCATACGGATCTAGAAGGAATGGCAGGTGAGGTTTATTGTGTGCTCCAGCTCAAAGATTTGAGAGCACGTAACTATGCCAAGGTGGCCAGGTCCTAAAGGAGGTTCATTTGGTTGCAAGTGTTGTGAAACTGCATTCATTTTACTTTTTTAATTTTAAAGTAAAATACACTCATAGAGAAAGTTACAAAATGAGATGTATGACCCAGCTTACCATGAAGTGACCAGCCTTGTGATAATCACCCGTCACGGACCGAACTGTGCTCTCCCTAAATTCCCAAGTTGAATTCCTGACCCCCGCAGCTCCCCGGAATGTGGCTATCTTTGGAAATAGGACCTTGAACGAGATGATTAAATTAAAATGAGGCCATTAGGCTGGGTCCTAATTCAATCTGAGTGGTGTCCTTATAAGAAGAGGAGATTAGGACACAGAAGCCAGGGAAGGAGGTGTTCAGAGTGATGACCATGCCAAGCGGCAACAGAGGGCGGCCGGAGCCCAGGAGAGAGGCCCCAGGGAAGCCAACCCTGCCGACACCTTGATCTTGGACTTCCAGCCTCTGGAACTGTGAGAAAATAAATTTCTCTTGTTTAAGCCACCCAGGATGTGACATTTTGTTATAGAACTAATACACCACCCAAGTCATAAACAGAGCATTTCCGGAAGTTTCTTTCATGCATCTTCTAATCATTACTTCTTCCCCACACCAAGTAAACCACTAATGTGGCTTTTCTGATCGCATGAAAGTCTTTAGAGTTCTACTGCCTAAGCATGCATCTCTAACTGCTATGGTTTTGTCTGCCTTTATTAAACTCCATAAAGTAGTAACTGAGTTCTGCTTTTACGGTTGTGGTTACCAACCATAGCATGGATTGGGATGGATGGATTCATCCCAGTTTGTTCCTTCTCACTGCTTAAGGATTTCACTGAAATAAGATCCACAGTTACATACACAATTATACACAATTTATTCATTCTGGATGGACATTTGAGTAATTTCCAGTTTCTGAAATGAGTCAGAGCTTGCTTTTTATGATCAGATATGGTTACATTTTTACTAATCTGTCCTGGGTGTTTGGAAAAAACTGTGTGTTCCACAGCTACTGGGTGGAGTGCTCTGTCTATGTAGGTCCATCAGATTCAAATTCCTGACTCTAGAATCCTAATAAATTTTTCCCCTGATTCTTAGTTACCTGGACAGGTAAGCTGAAATCACGCATTGAAGATTTTTTTTTTCTTTTTTTTTTTAACTTTGTCAGTTTTTTGCTTCCGATATTTTGAGGCCATACTATGGGTTTAAATTAAGAATTATCTCCTCTTGGTGGATGAAGCTCTATCATGTATCTTTCTGAAATGTCCTGTACCTTTAGTAATGCTTTTTTTTTTTTTTTTTGCGGTATGCGGGCCTCTCACTGCTGTGGCCTCTCCCGCTGCGGAGCACAGGCTCCGGACGCGCAGGCTCAGTGGCCATGGCTCACGGTCCCAGCCGCTCCGTGGCATGTGGGATCCTCCCAGACCGGGGCACGAACCCATGTCCCCTGCATCGGCAGGCGGACTCTCAACCACTGTGCCACCAGGGAAGCCCTTAATAATGCTTTTGATGAGAGATTTCATACTATAATTTTTTTTTTTTAATCACATTGCTTTCAACTTTCATAATCCTTAAGGTTTAGATGATCTTTTGGAACCAGCTGTTAGGTGCACTTTTGTCTATAACTGGTTGATCTTGATGGATTGACCCTTTTATCATTATAAAATGTTCAGTGTCTCTGTGAATAATTTTTATCTTACAGTCTATTTTGTCTGGTATTGGTACAGCCTCTCCACCTCTCTTCTGGTTACTGTTTGCATGGTATATCTTTCCCCATCATTATCCTTTCATCCTATTTGTGTCTTTGACTCTAAATTGTGTCTCTTGTAGGCAGATATGGTTGGATCATTTTTGTCATCCATTCTGCCAAATGGAACTCCATCTTCATTATCATTACTGCCTTCATTTGTATTAAATAGATATTTTCTAATTTGAATATCCTGGTCGTTTCTTTTTCTGTGCTTTTTGTGAATTTGCCTTCATTTTTAAAGGGTATTTTTTATTAGATAGAGAAATAAATATTATTTCTAGGCAGGAAATATTTGATGAGGAGTGGAGAGCAGAAGTATGTCCCCCAAATGAGATGCTGCTCAAATTAAGATTAGTTGAGAGGACAAAATACCTCCAACAAAGACTAGGACATGGGTCATAGGAAGGAGGGCTTGATTCAGAACTCTGGTACATGAGAAACCATTCCAGACGCTTGGCTGCTTCAGAGCTTACTTAGATCGCATCTAAATTCGAGTCAGGCTGTCTCACCGAGGTACCCGAGTTCAGTATGTGTTATAAAAGTTTCTGTGAATGGATGCCTGAGGTCTGTTAGAACAACCATGTCTCTTGCTAAATATCTTTGCGTCTTCCTAAAATGTGCCTGTCTTTGTTCAGATACAGATGGAGTAAGTGGGAAGCTGAAAAGATCATAGTGATCTTAAAGTAGAGCTCTGTGGTTACCCTGCGGTGAATGACATCACAGAGTGATAAAGGTGTCAGATGCCACCCAGCTTCTTGGTTGACCTTCCAAGCCATCAGATGATTCCCACAAACAAAGACTAGCAGACACCAGGTTTTGCTCTCTTGTTCAGTTGGTTCCAACACAGGAGGTGCTCAGGGAAGTTGCTGAATCTTACAGACTAGTCGGGGTTCAGAAATTTAATCTGGTCCCAACCTCTGACCGTGGTGTTCCAGAAGAAACCAACTTACCTAAGTTTTTAGCATAAAAACACTTTGCTGATTTCTTTCCATGAATAAGGTAATATCTTGAGTAAAACCTGATCTTTGTTCCTTGCTCCTTGGACATTAGTCAGATGTGGAAGTTTTATCATTGGTTACAAATCTTTAATCTGAATTTGTGCCTGTCGTTCTGTGCACTTCAGGTATGAAAATGAAAGTCATCAGAATGGAAGCAAGTCACCTGAATTTCCAGGACAAAGATGGGAACAGGTGATGGGGGGATATTATGGAACTTTGGGCTCTGATTCTTTTGCATGATGACATGAAATCATTTATATGCACTTTGACCCTGATTTCTCACAAGGGAGAACGACTTACCAGTTATAGTAGGAAAATGTCGCTAAGGTAGTAAAACAAGTTGAACTTAGATATATTAAGATAATTTAAACTATCCTTCCTCTTTTATTCAAAATGAGAGTACTAGGTGTTACACTTTGGGCCCAAAGTCTCCTAAAGTATCTCACAATATGATTTTGCAAACCTTTGGTTAGGGCAACCCTGACACAGAACTCAGATTCCAGAACCACATGATCTGGCGGCTCATTTTTTGTCCCATTTACTCATTGGTGTTTATCCATCCAAAATAATCACGTCAGAGTTGTAGGTACCAGTGACGCTTCCCAGTTTTGACAGGCAGATGGCCCACAGCACTGGAGGAGACTAACTGCCCTGTGTCTGTCAGCGGAGAAAACGCGCCCCGCGCGGCCCACCTTGTTGAAGTGCAGTCTGGGCCCACCCTGGGAGATTTGGTGGGACTTAGAAGGCTCTGGGTTAATCCTGAGACTTCCTCTCCTTCTTGCTTTTTAAGAAGGAAGCTATTCTTAGTAAGCTATTCAAGCTGTTCTCTTCTGACCAGGTTGGAATTCCCTGGCTTAAGAGTCTCAGCACAGATACTCCTGAAATCAGCAGTGGGCTCTGCATTTGAAGTTCCCTGCTCCTGCCATGTGCCCTTGCTTCCCCAGAGGACTAGCTTTAATGTCAACCCTGCTCATCAGCTTTGGGGGAAAGCTGGCTTTTGAGGTATCCCACCCACCAACCAACGCCGCTTCTAACTTGTTAGTAGGTATAAGGAAACCAACCAAAAAGCTGGACTATGGCTTAGATAAGAGGTCCCAGTGGTCTATGACCTGTTCGTTATCTGGATTGTGATAATGTAAATATTGAAGTTAAATACTTAGAACATGTTATTTGACAGTGATGTTTATGGCTATTGCATATTATAGTACAAAAAGTATGGGCTTGTATTTTGCACACATTTTTAAATTTTAATTCATTTTTATTGTTCAGTCATATGATTCCTTTTGTCAACTTCAGATTGGAAGTTAGAAACCGAGCCCTCACATGGGAAGTTTGAGAAGCAGCATATTCAGTAGCAAGATATCGGAAATTGATTAAAGAAAGAAGTTAAAGCATTTACCTTTGGATATACTTTGTGATTTCCACCCCTAATAATTCAGAGGATATTATTATTTCCTCCTTTGAAACAATTTTGGGCTTTTATATCTTATATCTGTGTTATTCTGTAGTTGTTCCTTACCCTCCAAAAAGCTGCCTGGGAAGGAATGTGAAGGTGGCCCAGCAGCAAGGCTGCACCCCAGCCCCGTGCTCTGAGGGTACAGGGCCTCTGGGTGCATTGTTTTCGCTTTTGCCTTAACTGCTGGGCTTTCAGATAAACCCTTAGTATCTGCCAGCAACGAGCACACATGCTAAGTGGAGCCCCACTTCACCCATGGGTCCTGTAGCCAACTTCTGATAAAACAGTGTAAAGTCAATAATTCTGTGCCCTTGGTAGGTTCCCAGATACTGAGTGTGGATAATGTTTACTTTTACCTTTGATTCGTCTTTCATAGAAGTTCAAGGAAGTTATAAAAAGTCACTGAGGTTCAGTTTAAGCAATTTTAATCTTCAAGTTTGTTTCTTGTTCTACTACTATATTTTTAAAAACTCAACTGAGAAATGCTTGTGTTACGAGTACCAGCCCAATGTCTTGGGCTCGTTTCTCGAAGTCGCTGAAAGTTCTCTAAGAACAGTTGGGTGGAGAAGGTCATCAACAGGAAGAACATGTTAGTAAATATGACTGTCGGTATCTGAAAAGGCATCTAAATTGCTGTTATCTGCCAATTCACAGGAGCCTTCGCGTCGGGTCTCAAGATCTAGCTTCCCTTCCAACCTTGGTTAGTAGATTTTTGGTTTTGTCTGGGATCCTGTAAGATCTGTTCTCTGTGTAGCTTTGTGGCAAGGAAGGGACAGACATAGGCAGACACCTGAGTTAACTTTTCTCACAAGTGATGTATGGGTGCCATATGCTTATTGGAGGGTCCCTGTAGAGATGAATTGTCATGCTCTTGTCCCCCTAATTCTGAGCTGATTGATAGCATTGGATGTCTCCTGTTGGTTACAGGAGGTATAGGAGGCTAAAGTGATTTATTTATTTTCATCATGGAACTAGTACCAGAATACCATTAGAATACATTTTGGACATTAAGAAATTTGTAGGCTAAGTGGAAAGCTTAGGTTTTTAAGACAATTTGAAATAATTTTAAAATGTGAATATTGCCCATGTTAATCATTGAGAAAATCTCGAATTTCTGCTTCTTATTTCATAACTCATTGTCAAGATGGAAAAGTTCAAGATTCCAGTGCCTGTTCAAAATTCACGGAAGACGCTGCTTCCGGAAGGCCTGTGGTGCATGGGAGGAATGTCACAGGAGCTGGTATTGTCTCAGGTGGCTCAGAAGCTCCTGCTGCTGGGAAGACACCTAACAGCGTTCATTCCTCAGAACGTCCTGGAGATAACGGCAGAAATGCAACAGCTCCCACTGCTGGGGATTCTCAAGAAGGTTCCAGTGTAACATTCGGGATCAGTAATGGAGAACTGAAGGCTTTTTCCTCTAGAAAGTGTTTTAAGGGGAGTGGCCAAAATGAGTCTCCCTTTAGGAAGCTTTATGAGTCAATGAAGGTGGAGTTAGATGTGAAATCAGGAAAAGTCAATGTTCTTCAGAATCGCAGAAAATCAGGATCACAGAGTCATTGCACACCAGAAGAAGAAAGCACTGGTGGTTTACAGAGTGAGACTCTGGTCTCACTTAAATCCAGACCCAAATCGGGCCAAAACCCCCAAATTAAGGCAGACCCTGCTTCAGGAGAACAAGGAAGCAGCCAGACTGAGGGAAAG